ATGTCACCTTCTCCCCCACTGGATATTACAAACCATATCACGGGGGGATATTATCACCCTCTCCTGCCCGGTGACAGGGCAAGATCCTGTCTCAAAAAAAAAAAAAAAATTCCGTGAAAACGTACAGCAAGTGATTGATTTTCCGGTCAATAAATAGGAAAGTAAGTGGAAATTTTCAGATAATTGAAAGGTGGTATACACTTTTACAATTTCCTTTCTAATAGTGTTTTTAGTAAAAGGAGGAATGACCAGGATGCTGTTATCACCTGAGTTTGTCCCTCCTCTTGGGGCTCGTGGTATGCCAGGAGCCAAAGTGTAGCTGTTTGCTGTTTTTGTCTGCCCGGTATCTACTTTTCTTTTTTGTTAACATCATATTTATTTTCTTTTGAGGAGCTATTTTCCCCTTCTCTCTTTGCCTCTGGGTCTACAGACATGGCCTAGTTTTGGCTGAAGTACATACTTTATCATCATCTGGCTATGGTGATTGCTTTAAGAACACGTGACCCAGGCATACAAGTCAGGTTTGGGAATTTTGGTGGTATAATTGTGAAACAAACACTGCCTGCAAGCCTGCTAAGCTGGAAGAGTATGTGTGAAGCTGCTAAGGGTCATCCCTGTTGCTACATGGAGACATAGTAGCTTGGCAATGAAGTCAGTACTAAGGATAGCAGAGTTTATGGGGAAGGAGGAGAAAAAGAGAGAAAAGGATGACATTGTTTGTGGCTTTTGATCCAGCTGTTCCTAAAAGTAATCACCCACCTTGAACTTCCTGGTTAGGTGAGCTGGTGGTTTATCTCTATCTCCCTCCCTCCTCTTTTACCTTTCTTTCTGTCTTTTTTCCTTAGCACAACTTCATTTAGATTTCTTCCTTTTGCAACTCAAACATTCTTACCTATAAAAGGTGTCAACACTTTGTTGCAGAGTCCAGAGGAGCAGGAAGTTGACAGAGTTAAAGTGGACAGCTGAAAAGGAAGTGAGTCTCAGCTTGCTAAGTATAAAATACCTCTTAACCTTGTGTGTGCCCTGGTAGGGGCAAGAATATTTTGCACAGGGGATAGGCTTGGCTGGCAGGATAGTTACTGTCAAGGAAAGATGAATGTGACAACTTTGGGGATATTCATTGGTGGGACGCTGTGAGGAGTGAAGAAATCAATATAGTTGAAATGCGGATTTTAAAATGTATATAACAGCCAGCCTCAGAAGTTAGATTGCACAAATCATCAGCATGTTTGCATGGTGCTTTTATTTCTGGGTCTCTGTTGATGGCTCCTCTTGCATAATTATTACTCTGTATGCTTTGGAAAATTTTTTTGTACATTTAGTACCAGGCTATTTCTCATTTTTATTTTCCTGCTTTTTTACCTTCTTATTCCAAAGTCACCGTGTGACTGTTTTATGGTAGAGATTTGTGTGCAGCCTAAATCAGTTGCTAGACATCAAAGAGTCATGTGCATATGTAATAAAGATGTGTTGCAGTGGGGGTGGAAGGTAACTGCAATCATTGTTGGAATTTTCAAATCTGTTAAGAGTCAACTCTGTGCGTAAAAAGAATAAGAATGTGATTTCTATGCATGTTTTATCAGGTGGGGGATGACTTGTGTGACTCAGAAACATCTGACTCCTCTGTGGGAAAAATGAAAGCACTTAAAAAGTGTTTGCAGCTGGGAACAGGTTTCCTAACGCACTGATCATTTGCTGGCTGTTCTCATTCCCGCCTTTATACTCTGCTGTATACTTGGGGTGGGATCAGAGTCCTTGCAGACTGTTTTTCCTAGAATCCCTTACCAGCTGGTTCTGCCAATGGGAAGCACTGGCTGTAGTGGAAGGGAGGAGAGGAGAAGAGATTTTCTTCCTGCCTTCAGCTTCTATCAGTTTCCTTCTACCAATAATGAGCAGACTGGATCAGGGTTTTCCGGCAGTTCCCTCACCTCCAGGGTGGACCAGCACCTAATACACTTTTGTGGTCCTAGAATCATAGAGTCTCCATGCAAACTTCTCCAAGATTCCAGTCCCTCCCTTCCAGTCCTGGGCTCCATGAATACTACATTCTCTATTTTCTTCTCCCAACTCTAGAGGTGCTATCTACTAATCTTTGGGTTACTCTATCTCTGCTTTGCTTTCTCAGCTCTCCCTATACAGCCAGTTTCCTATGTTACGTTCTCTCCCTGAAATATGTGAGATGGTTTTGTTTTCCTGGCTAATAAATATCTTTAATATATTTGCATTAGACGTTCAAACCTTTTGGGAAAATGACATTGAAAAAGGATGAAGCAAGTTTTTTTTTTTTTGATAATTCATTAAGAAATATTCTTTAAATAGTTTTAGATCAAATTTCAAGAGCATTTTAAGAAACAGAATCCTCACCATTGAAAACCAAACGATTGTGATTGTTTAATGCTGATTTTTAAAAAAATTTCTAACCCGAGTTGTGCCCTAAGTTTCCTTTTATAAACTTAGATTTTTGAACCCTTTGCCAACAACTTCATCACAATATATAGTTATTAAGCGATCTTTCCCTTGGTTGTCTTAGCAGTTTGGGTTTAGTTCCTATTTTTATTTGGCCATGACTGATAGTACTGATTGAAGGAAGTGTGATGTAACCAGCCCTCAAAGACTCCATCATGAATACACTTGTCAAGTGAGATAAATTTTGCAGAAGTCTTGCTCACTCCCTGACTTGGATGACTCCTGCCAGTTCCTTTAGTACTTCGCTCGCTGTGTTATCCTCTCTAGAAAACTCTTTGATATCTCCTCCCCAAAGAATGTGTTGTGGGATGGGATCCCCAGGATACAGATTCTGAGATGAAGCTGTACAGGAAGGGGTTTTATTGGAGGGATTGCTCTTAGGAGCAACACCTGCAAAGCAGTGAAGAAAACCAACAGGGCAGAGAAAGAAGTTGAACTGCAGTGCAGTGGCAAAAGCAGTCTCCACTAACCCCTGGGGCTACGATTCTGAGATGGCACTTCAGAGAGATACAGAATCAGCAGCCGATTGTGGGCTGCTCCCAGGGAGGGTGCATAAACTTAGGTGAGACAGGTTCCTTCTGTGGAGCACAGAGGAACACAGCTGTCAGCTATCAGCAAGCACTACTTCTAGCAGCTGCAACAAGAGTACCTCTCTGCTGAAGGGGGATCATGGTGTTACACCATGGTATCCACTACGATTGAGCCAGTAAAAGTCCTCAGGAATAGACCAGGCACAGTGGCTCACGCCTGTAATCCCAGCACTTTGGGAGGCTGAGATGGGTGGATCACGAGGTCAGGACATGGAGACCATCCTGGCCAACATGGTGAAACCCTGTCACTACTAAAACTACAAAAATTAGCTGGGCGTGGTGGCAGGCGCCTGTAATCCCAGCTACTCGGGAGACTGAGGCAGGAGAATCACTTGAACCTGGGAGGCAGAGGTTGCTGTGAGCCGAGATCGCACCACGGCACTCCAGCCTGGCAACAGAGCGAGACTCTGTTAAAAAAAAAAAAAAAATCCTCAGGGACCCAACACCCTTACTTTTAAGTGCAAACACAGTGCATTGGGATGGTGTATTTACATCAGCCTGAGACTGTGGGCTCCAGCATCCAGTACAGTAGGCACTTGATAAATGTTAAATTTAGTGGAGGAAAAATGTTTACTTGTTTCCCCTAGCAATTGCAGTAGGCATAGAATCTAATGTATCATGCTGTCCTCTGAAACTGGGGTTAAAATAGTCTTGATTTCAGTCCCATTCAGGAGAAGCTATGTGACTTGGGTTCTGGAGTGAAAACCCTGAAGGACACATGTTGGGCAAAGTGAAAAGCCTCAGAGTTTGCCAGATGAACTGATGACAAACAAGCATAGAGAAACACATGTTGAGAATGACACTGCCCAGGAACACCACGCGGTCATGGCCAAATGCTCCCGGGTGTTGTCTTCCCTCCAGCCATTCTGTATTCAGATGTGACTCAGATGCTGGCATTCAGTGCAGTTTTCTTTAGCTGCTGCTGCTTCCAGGAGTCCCCCAAAGTCAATAGGCCACTGGGTTACCACCAGAGTCAGGCAAGGAAAAGAGTGGGAAGGCAGCAACATCAACAGGAAATAAAACATTTTTATTGAATATCTGTGTAATATGTTAAGTCATTTTTAACAACAATCAGAAAACTACTGTGGAATTCACTACACAAAGTGAAACAAAATTTAAATCACCTCATCAAAAATGAAGGTAAAATACAGCTGAAGTAGTTGGCTCGCAGGCCACGAGCCATATGGCAGAAGAAAACACCCCAACATTTCTACAAGATACAGGGAAAACCCACACATAGAAACACTCAAGCAGGCAGTAAATATACACAAAGGCAACTAGGATCTTTCTAGAGCATCGGATTCTAATACTTTACACAGCTTTGTCAGAAGGGTACATGTGGCTTATTTGAGGATGAATCTTGGTCATAAAGCAGGTTCCATCACTGACTTGTGAAAGATGGCATAGTACCAACTAATTCTATGGTGACAATCCCATTTCTGGCAGTGTTGCAAGAGAATGCATTAGTAGTACTTTAATGCAAGAAATAATGTATATTCAGCAGCTTGAACCTGCTTGTTTTAAAGTGTGGTTTCATTGTGTACAACTTAAAGCTGAATACAGTGAAATTAAATGTTATTTGTGGTATTTAAATATTTTTTAAAAGCCAGTCAACTCCCTCTCTTTGGTAGGGTTTGGCCCTTTAAATTGGAAAGAGTCTTGTTTGAATTTTCTATTCAAACTGTTATTTAATTTCACATTCTGACTTGTGTGTATTTTCTATTGCCTATGTGTTTAAAGAAGTATGGACCATCAGCAGACGGTGATGTTATTTTCCTTTTATCCGTTATGTCTGTGCCAATTATAAAGCGTTTGCTGTGTCTGGCCTAAAAGGCAAAAGTGCCCCTTCTTTGATAAGGAAACAGTAACGACAGGAATTGCAGTTTTACTGGGAAACAGCCAACCCCATGTTCAAAGCCTACCATCAGCCCTTTTTGAATTCTCTTTAGTTTTTGAAAAGACATGGTGTGATATCCTGAAGACTGAACATGAGGCCAATGCTTAGTTTTCCTCCATTTTGTTTTGGTATTTGTGAAGACAAACTTTCATTTCACAGCATCGTTACTGTCTGTGGCCTGGGAATTAAAATGGGTCACAGAAGTGAATGGGAGAAAAGGCTAGATGCAGTGTGAGATAATAGGCTGCCCTTCCACGAAGTGGTTGTTTACCATAGTGGGGAAAAATATGGAATATTGCACAGTGCTTGACAAAATGCTGTGTTCCACCCCATTCTATGTATCTTCCTTGTCCTATGCATAGCTTTTCAGTTCTGGATTGGTCCTTTGTAATGAGAACTGTTTGTGCTACACACACCTTGGGCAGTGCAGTAGAAGGGAATGGCAGTATTGTTACAATATCACTACGGAATAAATTGAGTGCTATCCACTGAGGAAACTACGGGTCTAAGCACACACGGCAGTCACAGTGTTACACAGAGCAGTCCTTTAAGACTCTTATGGAATGACTAGTAGCTTCATAATAGTGCCATTTACTACATAATAACATTGAAAACGTTTAAAAACTCCTCCTAAATCAAGCATCTAGTATACGTAAGAGGTTGCTTCAGTTTTCTAGAACTTGTTCTTGGTTTGTTTCACCTTTTTTTAAAGGACAAATTAAAACTTATTTAAGTAAAAAGAGCATATAAAAAGATCACTAGCTGTCTGTTTTGGCTTAATTGAAGTGCATTCAGAACTATGGCTAATTGTTGTTGGTTTTTTTTTTTTTTCATCTTTTGATGGGATTACAATACTGTCTGTTTACCACAAAGTAATTTTGTGTAATAAGCACAGATTGCTGTGTTAAAAATATCCTGCATTCCTTCTAATCTGGTTTTATATAATAAAATATTTTGTTACAAACTCTAATGTGCAAACCTTTTGGAATTACGATAGGTGTGAAATCTGGAACAGAATTCACAGGATGCACATTTTGTATAAAGGTGATAACGGAGAGCTACTTTTTTCTTTTTAAATAGTCAGGCAATAGTTCATAAATGTTAACTTCTCCCCTTAGCTTCTTCTCCCCCAAACCCCAAACAAATGTGTGCACACCACACACACACACACACACACACACACACACGCACGCACGGAACACCTTGTTGTTATTCTACAAGGAGTAATATGAAATCATTGACTCCTGTTCAGTTGCTTCCTCAAATGTAAGAGTGAAGCCATTATTTCAGCTTTGTAAATATGTACAGACAGATGCTATTCTGGTTTGTGGCTATGCTTCCTTGAGGTCAGCCTGGATGCTGCTGCTCAGATCATGCTATTTTGCCTGTGTAGGAATTCTACAAAATTGGATTCACCCACCAAGTATGTGGTGTAAGTTTATCTTGGTACTCAAATGATTGAATAGAAAGCTCAGGTTTAAGTTGTCCTTTAAGATGTCAGTTTAACTGTACTAGTGCCTTATGAGTTGATATTTTTGCTGGAATGCAGACGATACTATATTACCATATAATATATTATCAGCTCTCCTATATCTCAGTCAATTTACATAGTTTAAAATAGAACATCTTATTAAAAACATCTAGATATACACAGATTAGGAAACACAACATACAAATACACAAACTAGAAATAAATCTTTAGCATACTGGTATATACAACAGTGTGATACAATAAATAATTTCAATCATGCTCTATCTACACATCATATTGCTTAAAAGAAGAGTAGATTTGGAGGGCAGTGGTATGATGAAGGACTTAGGGGCTCTCTACATTTAAATCTGTGCAAATTAAAACAGGATTCCAAGTACCACTGAATTGTGTTAAGAATGCATGGCTGGAAAAATGAAAGGACCCATATTACTGAGGTATTTACAGATACTGGCTAAAGAGCACTATATGGGCAAATGCAGAAAGGCTTCTTCTTTCCTTTACTTCTTGACGGCCAGCATGGCATCGACTTCCTCCTCTACCTGCAGGGTGTGCCACTGGGCAATAGGTCGCCTGGGGTTGGCCAGCATATCTGACCAGTGTCGCAGCTCCGCGCCGGTGCTGTTGTAGCCCACAAAGACTTTGCCGATGGCATCGTTCTTGCCAATCTTGTCATAGTCCAAAACAGTTACCACCACCTGCACTTTCTGAAAGAAGACATGAAACGAATATGAATCATCTAGCTCTAGAGATAAGGCCCGACTATAAAGCTTCCTTGAGCACTAAAGAATTGGAAATAAAAGAATCAGTCTCCAAGCACTAGGATGAGGATGAAAATGACTTGAATATAGAAACTTGAGTCCAAATTTCCTTTTTCCATTACTATATCATAAGTGTCACCATCATCATCTTACTACTCAAACGTTAATTTTTATTATATATGTTGCACTGTCTTTTACATGAATGAACTCAGTTACTTCTCATAATAGATCCTATTAATATTGCCGTTATACGGATAAGGATGCTTGAAGCTCTGAGAAGTTAGATAACCTGTCTGAGGTTGTTTAAGGAATGAGTTGTTTGGTTTTCAGAGCCTATGCTGTAAACCTCCATGCCATGGGGTCTGTGTCAACATGTGCTAACCTCTAAATTCATTTGCTTCAATTGTCTCATCAGTGAAAGTTCTGGCATTGGTGTTCAGGCCACTCTATTTGATTACAATTCCCAAGGCAACCATGTGCAATAATCCAATTTCAAGGGGGGACAGCATGTTACAAAAAAATTAATGTAGAACTTCAACTAATCATATGACTGTGAGCATAAAACATGACATTATAGTGAAAGTCTTTAAAAACTAGTAATAAAGATTTTTTTTCTCATCCATACATTCTCTTAGTAAACATTTACTGAGTAACTACTATGTATCTGGCATTGATATCAAATGTAAATATCATTTTAGGCTACATAGGATTTACTTCAATGATTCCATCAGATTTTGAAAGTTTATTTGATAACTTCCTTTTCTGAATGATTAAACTGATGAAAGCAAACCTATACTATTATGGTATAAAAGATATACTTTTTAAAAGCACATTTCAGTTCTACTTTCTGAGTAATTAATTTACTTAGCAGAATATGTGATGGTTTCAATCTACAGCTGAGTGTAAGGATAAGAGTTTAAAATAAATGGAATATATAACATTTATTGCCAGAGTTAAAAGTAGCAGAAAATATAATTATAAAAGCTAGGGCCAGATGAAGAGCCAGCTGAGTTAGAGCCCTTTAGTGGACTTTATATGCTGAAGACTGATTTATTACATTAATGAAATGAGAAATGTCATTGATATACAGCTTCAGAACACAGAAAGCAATCACTTCTGAAAGTGGAATTTAGAATGTAAAATGCAACACATTGGCAATAAAAAAGACAAACTTCCCTGGGAGTGATTCCATTGTTAAAGGAATTAACTATCCACTGGGTAGTTTCTGGAAGCAAGAAGAGGGCTATATTGATTCTTAGAACTTGTCTTAAGCAAACTTATCAGGAAGCAATCATATTGTAATGAATGGGGCGGGGCACGTGATACACAAAGGCAACAGAAGTTTTTAGAGTTTGATTATTCCACTTAGGAATGCATTGATTAGTAGCATTCAAGACAAAATATCCTTGTGAAGCCTTTGGATTAATGTTTCCAGCTGCATATGTAGTTTATTTCTACATTTGGGGGCGGAAGTCTTACATTTTCACATGCATTGGAAATTCGCGTATTTTGCTTCTTTCATAATACATTTCATAGGGATAGAGAAAGACAGAAGAACAGGCAGATTGTCTTATAACCTCAGGATAAGGGAAACTTAAACCCCTATTTTAGCTTGTGAGATACTCAATTATTTTTTTCTAGGAAAGGGTAAAGACTAGAAAAGTTGCCACCTATAAAAAAAGGAAAAAAAAGGAACAAACTGACTCAAGGAGTAGAGAAAGAGGGATACAGCCAAAGGAATGCTCCTTGTTTCCATGTCTAATATACTCTGTATTGGGCTTAGTTTCTGTCTGTCCTGACAAAATGTTATTGCCTCTGAAATGCTGCCCTAGAAATCTAACCTATGTCTTATTTCTCATGTGCTTCACTTTCGATATATTTGCATTTTCTGCAGTTTGTAGTTGAAAAGGATATTTATTTTAAAGGCATAGAATTGTAGCTCAATGGGAGTTTTCATCTCAGTGCCTTGCTTTATACTATTTAGTGAAATTAAAAAAATTAAATGCCAGGAGGTGTTAGTTTCCATAGGAATAAGGTCTTAGAACTCAAAAGAGTTCACTGAAGAAATATTGCAAATAAACTGTTGGAAAAAATTGATGTTTTGAGGGTTTGTGAGTGGGTCCAAAGCAAGGGGCCCACTGGGTCAGGCTAGCGAACAAGTTATTGGGAAGAGGGAACCAGTGTCCTCTGCATTTACTTATATAACAGATGTTGAAAATAAATAAGTATGTATAATTTTGACACCATGGGAAAATTTATATGATAAAGGTTGTATTTAAAACTATTAACCAATATGAAGATGGTAGAGTTATTGGTTATTTTTGGTCATTTAAGACACCCTATACTACACAGTAGCTACCAGCCACATCTAGCTGTATCCATTTAAATTTAAATACATGGAAGTTAAATAACGTTCCTTGGTCAAATTAGTGACTGAGGTACTCATTTGCCACCTGTGGCTACAATATTATTGGACAGCATGGATGACAGAATATTTCAATCGTCATAAAATTCTATTAGACAGCACTGATTTGTATACTGATTTAATCTTATGGTTAGATCCATTTTCCAATAAAATGCTAACTTGAAAAAGAGAGGACATTAGCATGTAAATAATAATGATGATGATGATAGGACCGTTTACTGTGTGTTCCTATGTATTGGGCGCTGTTCCAAGTGCTTTTATTGCATAATCTTACTTTGACAAGGACTCTTATCATTCCTACTTTATAGGTAAAGAAACTCTAAGCCTCAGTTTTTTTACATATAAAATTGGGATAATAACAATAGTACTTTTCTCACAAAGTTCTTCTAAGGATGAAATAAGATTACATACATAAAGTGGTTAACTTGGACCTAGGCATATTTTTTATATATATATTATATATATATATATATATATGTGTGTGTGTGTGTGTCTTTGGATTAATGTTTCTATGAAGAAAGCTAATATAATAGCTATACTTATTTTATATATGTATATATTATATAGCTATACTTATATATAAAATATATATTTTATATATATATAAAATAAGGTAGCTATATTAGTTTTCTTCATGGAATAAAGCTGTGATTCATTCATAAGATACTGTCTTCTAAGAATAGATTAAAGGTAAATGAAGACACAATTGGGCCTATTAAGGGTGGTATAGCACTATTCACAACAGCCAACATATGGAATTAACCTAGGTGTCCAACAACAGATGAATGGATAAATAAAATGTGGTACGTATACACAATGGACTATGATTCAGCCATAAAAAAGAATGAATCCTGTCATTTGTGGCAGTGGATGAAACTGGCAGACACGATGTTAAGTGAAATAAGCTAGGAACAGAAAGTTAAATACTGTATGTTCTTACTCATGTGGAAGCTAAAGAAAAGTTGATATCATAGAAATAAAAGGTAGAACAAAGGATACTAAAGACTGGGAACGGGAAGATAGGGAGAGATTTGTTTAAGGATACAAAATCACAGCTACATAGGAGGAATGAGTTCTAGTGTTCTGTACCACTATAGGATGGCTATAGTTAACAATAACATATGATATAATTTCAAATAGCTACAAGTAGGATATTGAATGTTCCCAAACCAAATGATAAATGTTTGAGATGATAAATATGCTAACTACTCTGATTTGATTACAATACATTATATATATGAAAACATTACTATGTGTCCCATGAATATGTACAACTACTATTTGGCAATTAAAATAAATAAAATAAAATACTGAAGAATATTTGTTATTGCGGACCTTTAGAAGGTTCTTCGTTGTAGGTTTGATGTCTGCTCTTTGTTTCTCCTTCAAGTTATGAGCAAACTTTTACATCACTGAAAATATACACCTGTGCCAATTATTGAATAAAATGTAATAACAGTGTTGTTTCATGCAGTTTGACTCTATGATGCCCATTAAAGATTTGTGAGAAATGGCCCAAAATTATTGGATATGAACTTTAGATTCTTTTTTTTTTTTTTGAGACGGAGTCTTGCTCTGTCGCCCAGGTTGGAGTGCAGTGGCCGGATCTCAGCTCACTGCAAGCTCCGCCTCCCGGGTTCACGCCATTCTCCTACCTCAGCCTCCCGAGTAGCTGGGACTACAGGTACCTGCCACCACGCCCGGCTAGTTTTTTGTATTTTTTAATAGAGACGGGGTTTCACCGGGTTAGCCAGGATGGTCTCGATCTCCTGACCTCATGATCCGCCCGTCTCGGCCTCCCAAAGTGCTGGGATTACAGGCTTGAGCCACCGCGCCCGGCCGAACTTTAGATTCTTATAGGCTAACTATGGAGATGGGGTGAGAAAATGCAAATATTTTTAAAAACCCCTAAATGATAAGGTTGCATGTTATCATTATGACTACATGTAGCAACTTAATTTGAACATGTTAACTACAAGGACATTTAATAAAATATTTCCCATCATAATTATTGTCTGGCAAATTAAGTCTCCATTTTTACTAAAATGGCCATCCATTCCAACTCAGACACAGGAAGCTGAATTTAAATAATTGAAAATACAACTTTAGCCTAATTTTTCTATTGTTAATCATCTTTTAATAAAGACTCAATATGCGGCATATTTAGCATCAACCAAAAATATTTCTCTTGTCACTATTTTTTGCTCTAAAGATCTGATGAGGAGACTTATTTATGGTCTGGGAGTAAATAGTGAAAGCTCATATTTTTCTCTGGGCTTTTTAACTTTTATAGATGCACTTTTTGAGTGAACAGAATTATTCTGTTGATTTTCTTTTTCCTACTTGCTTTTCCTCTTTTTCCGCTCAACACAGTGCCAGCTGTTTTGGGCTGATGAGTCAGCACATCCTGCACTGTATATTTTATCCTATCCTTCTTGATGTAGCTCAAGCATCAAATGTGCATGGGAGAAAGAATGGCAGTTCTAATGAAGGCATGTGCGCTGGTAACTTACAAGGTCTGTGTGTATAATTTATGTGGTCTGAAGGAATGAAATTGAGTGGGAAGACAAAATTATGTTTGACATTACCTGGATTTGTTCAAAAGGTACTTCAAAGCTGAATGACTCATTGTAGTAGGGGTTAAGTGTGTTCTTTTTAATTGTTGTCTTTTTCTTCTTCAGCCTCTTACCATTCTGCATCAGATGAATCTTCACATAAGGATCTGAATGAAAAACAGGAAAGAAACTTTAGGAGATCAGAGACACATATTTTAGATTATAATTTAGCTTATAAAAGAACTAAGTATTTCCCATGGGTAAATAATTATATAGCATGTATTTAGTATTTTTTAAATTCAATAATTTTTTATTGAAATATTTTAAGTAACCTATGGGGCATGCTTTTTGCATGACAGATCAATATTTATAGTTTGATTTAGAAGATGAGAGTAGCAGTATGCTGGTAAACCAGCTCTTTGGGGAAGAAAAAAGTCTTAACATGTAGCATTTTCCTATGTCTATGGTATTTATATATATACTCCAACCGAGGCCAATGTCAAGCCACTAAGCTTAACAATTGGCTTGCAAAATCCCTGAAAAATTAACAGTTCACTCTTGTGAGCTGGCGAAGGCTTGCCTGCAGCACAACCCTATATGGGAATAAAACTCTTAACAGAGAGAGGACAAAAGAACCATTTTATTCATTCATTTATTAATTTACTCAATCAATATTAGTTGAATACCTATGATGTGATAGGCACTGTTAGGCCCTAGGAATATAGCCTCAACACAACGGACTATCCCTGTCTTCACAATGAAGCTTCAGACTGTGGGGAAAAATAGACTAAGTTTATATAGAAACAAAAGACATGAAATTACAAGTTGACAAGAGTGCTCTGTAAGAAAAAAGCAGAGTAGAAATAATATAGGAAATACCAAGGATGATATGGTGAGTAGTAAAGTAGATAGGGAATTTAGGTTTTAGTTTGCTCTGGTAAGGCATCTGTGGAAGTAACATTTAAGCTGAGATGTGAAGGTTGAAGGGTAAGATCAGGCCAACTGAGCCTAAATATTCCTAGGTAGAGAAGACCTTCAAGTGTTTGAGGAAAAGAGAAGAGACTAGTACACACTGAAGCAATGGGAAAAGGAGCATAAAGATCCCCTGAGCAGTTTCCCTAAAGCCTCATTAGGCAAAGATTAATAAGTCACTGCAGGGGCAAGACAATTTCCATTTACAGCTCCCATTACTAATGGATGACTGTTGTACCTTCAGGTCACTAGAAACCAATGCTCACGGTTGAAAGGAAAATCTCTACTGTTTTTCTTAAACATTTTTCCATTTCATATGTAACCCATGCTCATTATAGAAAAAATATCAGAAAGCAATGATGACCAAAAAGAAAAAAAAAATTAAATCTAGGATTTTACTTCCTTAAAATAACTACTGCTAAGCCTTTCAAATTTTCTTTTCTCTCTCTCGGAACATGTAGAGCTGGGAGAAACTTTCCAGATGATCTGGTCTAATGCCACCTATTTTTAGAAGAGAAAACTGCAGATGAAAAAAGGGTATTTTTATCTCCCCCTCCCTATCCCCAGTAGAACATAATTCCTAAGGGACAGACACTTTGTCTGTTATATTCACTATTTGAATTTGCTAAAACAGTGCCTGGCACATATTCAGTTTTTGTTGAATAAGTGGAACTTATTTAGGGCCTCAGTCTGGGTCTTCTGACTCCCATTCCTGTCTTTTTCCCACTACCCCAAAGCCTACATTACTAGGATACATGTTGTTAGGAGATTTTTAAAAATGTTACATCCAGTTCAGGGGATCATAATGAAGATTTTCATCAAAATTAACAATATCTTTAAAAACTAGGCCTAGAGATATGAAACCAGCTCCATAAACTAAAGAGTTGGTCAGTTAAAAAAAAAAAATCCACTGTAAACAGTTGTAAATGGAAGCAAAAAATGTCACTGATAATCCATGTTACTGTTCACAGCCAACTGATTTTTGGTTCACACACAGTTGATTTTTGGTTCAGAGACCTTGTTTGTTTTATAAAGTTCCCTAGCTCCCCCATCCAACCCCTTGCAATTTTATAAAGATAGTCATGTCTCCAGTTGTTCTTTGGCACTGATGCAAGACATGTATATACTGTATATGCCTCCTGTGTTCATGTGTTGAAACTTTATCAACCTAATTGAGGCATAGATTTTCTCAAGAGAAGCACTCTGAGTATCTACTGATTAATTTAACACAATAAGTGATAAGAAAAAACCTTGCACATCAGCCATTTCAGTAAGCAAATTAAAAACCCAACAGGATAGTTTCAGATTTTGCTACAAGCTCTGACATGATGTTATTAATGCCTTGGGGAGAATAGGGTGATTTTAATAAGGTTGATCAGGAAAGTCCTCATTGAGAAGGCAACGTTTTAGCAGAGAACCAAAAGACAAGAAAGAACCAGTCATTTGGCTGTATGGTGGATGCTTGTACCAGCCAGAAGGAGCAGTACCTGCAAAGGCCCTACGTAGCACCTCCTTCTGCATGTTTGAGAAACAATAGAAGGCAGGGGGAAGAGAGGTAGATGGTGAGGTCAATTAACTTAGGACTTGCTGATCTGTTGCTTTTGTAAGCAGAAGCTGCCAGTTCTGATGATTCAGATGTATCCTACAATTTCATGATACATAAAAAAGAGAACAGAGGGTTGGGGGCCGGGTGCAGTGGCTCATACCTGTAATCCCAGCACTTTGGGAGGCCAAGGCAGGTAGATCACCTGAGGTTAGGTGTTTGAGACCAGCCTGACTAACATGGTGAAACCCCATCTCTACCAAAAATACAAAAATTAGCTGGGTGTGGTGGTGCATACCTGTGATCCCAGCTACTCCAGAGGCTGAGGCAGGAGAATCACTTGAACCAAGGAGGCGGAGGTTGCAGTGAGCCAAGATCATGCCACTGCACTCCAGCCTGGGCAGCAGAGCCAGAGTCTCAAAACAACAACAACAAAAACGAACAAACAAACAAAACCAGAGGGCTGAAAGCAGAGCAGGTTTGGAACTGCTATAAACGGGAAGTCTCGGTCTTTGCCTTTGCAGATTGACCCTGGCACAGGTACCAAAGCACTTACTTTGCAGGCAAAATTCCCATCTTAATCAAAACAAAAGCTGGAAGAAACTTAGAGTTCTTTATCAGCTTTTGTGCCTGGATACGTCTAGACCATATGTTATGTACCTGGATGGGCACATTTGAGCATCTTCTTAGCCCAACAATCTGAAGTCTTAGATTGCTTCTCCATTTCCTCCAGTCTTGATTGCCAAGGAGCTAAGTGTCTTTTAGTTCTTTCATTGTACAGAAGTCTTGTCCTGAACGTGGGTCCCTTTAGTGATATCCCTAATCTCTTGCTTAGCTTGTTTGTAACTTTTTCTGAGATCTAGACCTTGCTCCTCCATCCCCAGCTACTGATTGAGTCCTCTAAATGGAAATACACCCATCTATGAGTCACATTTGTGCTTTAAGAACACACTTTTGAAAATTCTAAAGCAAAGGTTACCTCTCCTACAAAATAGGCCACTGGATAATTGAATTTTTTCTGTTTTAGGGGTTGTTCTGCAAAGCAAAATCCTTGTCAGTTTCTTGGTGGCTTAGAAGTCCTCGCGATTGCACAACAAAACAAAATTTTATGGAAATAATAAAATAAGATGTAATGAAACTCACAAATATTGCTCTTGCTTTTCCTGAGTACAGCTGCTGGACACCATACATAACATCTAAACATTCACTAGGCTTTTTGAAACATGTAAGTAGCATAGGAAACCTGCAACCAAAAAGTTGGGCTACTGTCTTTAGGCATTCTGTATCTCTGCAACTGTTTGGATTCATTCTGTTACCCAAAACAAGAACTCATGGAAACCTTCATCATCTAAATACTGACACCCTGTCTTCAATGATCATTTAGATAATCCTTGTTGCCAATGGAATAGATGCAGGACGTCGGACACTTCACTTCTTTTGTTTGTTTAACTAATCTTAAAAAAGTAGTTGAGTCCTTTTTTTTTTTTTTTGACATGGAGTCTTGCTTTGTTACCCAGGCTGCAGTGCAGTGGCACGGTCTTGGCTCAGTGCAACCTCTACCTCCTGGGTTCACGCGATTTTCCTTCCTCAGCCTCTCAAGTAGCTGGGATTACAGGCACATGCCTAGCTAATTTTTGTATTTTTAGTAGAGACGGAGTTTCACCATGTTGGCCAGGCTGGTCCTGAACTCCTGACCTCAAGTGATCTGCCCACCTCGGCCTCCCCAAATGCTGGGATTACAGGAGTGAGCCACTGCGCCCAGTCAGAAAGGCTGTTTTTTTTTTTTTTTTAAAGAATTCAAACCAGTCTATCCTGACTCCAAACTTGCTGCTCTTTGTGATATGTCAGAGAGACAATTTAGTACAGTGTTTACAAGTACAGACTCTACAGCCAGTCTAACTTGGATCTTGGCTCTGCTTTTTTCTAGCTGTGTGGTCTTGGAGAAGTTATTTCACCTCTTTGTGGCATAACTCCTTCAACTGTAAAATAGTGAAAATGATAATGCCTAGCTCATAAAGTTGTTAAAATTAAATTGAGTTACCACATGGAAAGTGATTCAAAGTGTGGCTGGCACATTTCATTGTTAATTATTACTATGGTTTTATGAAAGGGCTAACATCGAAGTCAGCATCTGTGAATCAGACTCTCCTTCAACTCACTTTGCTGAATTGGTAACCACCATTAGCTAATGGGAAAAAGTCTTCCCATTTGCTGCACAAGTAAGCCAAGCTATCCCAGTCCCAGTTTATTTCTGGAAAGAAGCATACCCACTCTAAACAACTGGTTCGTTTTGAAGAATGTCATCATGTATGAGATGAAAGACAAAGGGAGCATTTCTTTCATTACCACCTATATGAGGTGGTCTCACGGTGTGAGATGGGAAACTGATTCAACATCCCGTATGGTTTGCTCCCATTTCTGACATCAATAGATCAAATCACACACAGCTGAAAAGTTAAACTCAGAGTTCCAAATGGAATCTTATTACTGAGGCTGGAGGATAGTGTGAATCAAAAGTGATTTACTGAGCTTCTTTCCAGATTCTGAGGCCAGCTAATGCTGATACACTTAGCTATATTATGCCTGGAGTATCTACTTTCCTTATTCTGCTGAAAATGAGGAATTAGAGAAAAGGAATCCCTCAGGCTTGAG